CCAACATTGCCATATGGAAATGATGCTACTTTTTTTTCTCAAAATTGTCTCTGAATTCTTTCTCCTGGTTTTATCAAAAGCATTTGACGATTGTTTTATAACTGGCCCATTAGCTCAGTTGGTTAGAGCGTCGTGCTAATAACGCGAAGGTCGCGGGTTCGATCCCCTCATGGGCCAATACAATTATTTTGTTATTTTTATTTAAGTTTTTAAACGCATAAAGCATGGAGATTTCGTGCGTGATAATGGTTAACTGGGGACAAGACAGGACAAACGGCAAGTGAGGCGTGCACTATATAATTAAAATGACTCGGTTAAGGTCAATCATCCCAGTGCCAGTAACTAAGCGAATGAGTATACATACTACATACTGTATATATTTAATGAGAATGTGTGTTTCACGTTAATTTTCATGAAAGTCATTTTTTTTAACAAATTGTCTACTTCACTTGAACATTTCGTGACTGAAAGTAATTACATATGAAAAGGCACATAAAGTCACATTAACGAAGAGCCTAAATATATCTGTATGAGGCACTCAGCGACTCAGATGATAAAAAAAAAGATAATCACAAAAAAGTTAAAATTTTATGAACCCAGTTTAAATTTTGTTTGATTAGATTTGCAGTACGTGGCTATTTATTTTTTATCCGAACGTCAGCTTATCTACTTTCTTCACATGCATTCATTAAGCGTTGAAAAATAACAAATTCACAGCAAAGGAGTGTCACATGCAGGTCACAGAAATCACAAGAAGCATAGAATGTATTAGGTAATTCCGTCGTATACAAAATATGCACATGGGAAATGAAATCAAGTTGGAGCAAGGGCTAGATTTGACGACTGTCACTAAGGTGTGCCATCACAAATCACCGTTTTTGCTTTTGTTTTCGTTTTTATTTTTTATTTTATAAGTCATGTGTAAGTTTTAATGACAACGCTTGTATAGTTTTAGGCGCGAGTGCATGCCAGCTCGCTGCTTGTATGATTGTTCATTGTTCTTATGTTTAAGATTCATTACTGTTAAAATTGTGTTTAGCTAATAGCTATTGTTTTTAGAAGAAATTTTACTGCCGGCCTTTCCGCCGTTGATAACGTCACTCGTCGCATTAACGCATGGGCTTACTATGAATGCGTTAATAAAAATAAACATAGTATATAAATAGGCGCTTTGCCCATTCATGTGTTTATTACTTACGCGCACGTATGTATGCTTGAGTTCAACCTAAATAGCAGTTTATTACATATTCCGACGAAGAATGAGGTTCCAAAAACACAGAAATTTATAAAAATTAATGATATAATAGTTAAAAAAAATAAAGTTTCTTGAATTTTTAAGGAACGCTTTGAAATTAACTGAAAGTGAAAAATTAGAACTTTCTCCATACCGAAGTAGTAGATTTAATTTTTAACAAAATATCTTCACGAAATTTGCCATACATTATTAACCAATCAAATACTTCTAATCGAATCACTATATAGCTATCATTCAAATTATTGATCAATGCATCAATGAATTGAACATCTTTTTATAACTATTTATGCTAGAAAAAATGTACCTGTGGGGGGTACTACAGCTTAAGGGCAGCCAAAGTTAAGGTTTGTCTTATTTTTATTGTTTTTAATGAGGTTATGATTAACTTCAGATTTCAGAAATGAGTTTAAAATATTGTAATCGATGCCATCTAACATAACGGTCATAGGCTAGTGTTTACTTCAAAAGCCGTTTACCTTGGACATCTCAAGGTCATTGTAAATGTAATGATCGTGGATTAGTACCTAAGTCAAATAACTGACTTTTGATAAATATTACTCGATGATGACAGAAAGGGGTCTCATGAACAAGAATTTTGCTTACGCTGCATTAAACGTTTTTCATCATATCAGTCAATCATAGTTTTTTAAATTTCTATTTCAAGCTAAAAAAATTTTTTTTTAATACTTTAAGCTTTTATAGAAAATTGTGACTTAAATATTCCACTACTAATTAAGAGTAATTATTAAGAAATATAAATAAAATTATGTTCTTATCATTAAAATACAAATATTTACAGTGGGTATACATGTATGAATATGTATAGTATCTGCGAACTGCATACCAAACAACTTACTCACCTCTACCTCGGATGCCCTCATACTCCCGCCGACGATGTTGGCGGCCAACAATAGCAACTTCCGCATCATCATTATGCCGACGATAGGAGGAGAGACGCGAACGAATGGATGAAAAAGACATAACCGCGAACCGATATTAAACTGTGTCAGCAAATAGTTGAAAAGTAGTTAAAGTATTTAGAAATATGATATAAAACTGTAAGACCATTAAGGAATCACATAAAATGAACGCCACAAAGAAGGGGCGTGCTAAGGCGCGCACTACTGGGGCTTCGCCAGCAACAAGCGAACGCGAATGTTGCACCGAAGGCGGAAATGATACAAATGTATTGCAAAAACTCATATACAAATTGGCACTTTACTTTTTTAAATACGCAAAATAATACATCGCACCGAGAAAAACACTTGCGCTTTATTATTAATTAATGCATATGTGTGTATGTATTTGCAATTATTATTGCAGCCACAAGTGACGCGCTGGTCATAAGTTTCGCTATTTACGCATTGCCACAAATAACTATCTCTATTATCTTATCGCTGATAAAGAAGCGTGTGACCCCCATACAAAGCTACTACACACTACAAAGAAGCTACACTCTTCTTGAATACTTAAGCACAATACTATTTAATTTTAATACACTCTAACTACTGATTAAGCACAGAATTTAGCACAATTATTTGCCACATTATTTCAATATTATTTCAATATTATTGCAACGTACATTACGCCATTCTAATAAATCTAATGCACCGAGCAATAACAAACTGCAATTATTTTCAGCTGACCAAAGCAAAAGTGCAATAAAGCACAGTCAAGAAACAGCAGCGTAAAAGATAAACAATAGAAATATTGATAACCGAGCGCTACATATATACATTTGGGCATGAGCGAATGATAGAGAGAGAAAGAGAATTGATATAACGCAAACCACACAGATGATAAGAATGACATGCTTGTAAAAAGGTGGCCACCCCTACAGTTCAGCTGTTCAAGTGTTGAACACTTGTAAATTCGTTTTGTTTTGCAAAATAAGTGCATGGAAACGATAGAGGACACGCTTGTCGCCAGTTATTTTGAATATTTCAAAAGTGTTTTCCTTCTTTAGCAATAACAACAGAGAGCAACAGTTAAAAATGCAACATATTTCCTATAAAAAGCATTAATTTAGATTTTTATTTCTATGTGCTTAGTTTCTGAGCGCCTTCTGTAAGACTGATGGAGTTTTTTGCGAAACTTTCTGAACCAGTATACAAACAAAGACGCGTTATGATATGAACTTAGGTATATATCTATTTGTAAATATATATTTATATGTATGTATGTATATATGTATATAAATTAGGGTAGTCATAATTATGCCCTCTGCTCTTAAATTGTATACATATGTAGTTATATACATATGTACTGGGTGTCCCAAAATAAACGCCGAATATAAATTTACCTTCATTTGTGTAGTAAAGTGTTGACAAGCTTAAAACAAAAAAACAAATAGCAGCTGATAGTTTAGGCTTATTAAAAAGAAAAACAACGTGTCATCATGATTGAAAATAATTTCAAAAATAATGAAAACTTGGCGGCCGCAGTTCGAAAATTGTATATCATCAAAAGCTAAACCTAAGCGATGAAGCACATTTTCACCTTGATGGGTTTGTTAATCGCCAAAATTGCCGCTTTTAAGGTTCTGAGAACCCACATGTGATTGTCGAAAAGCAAATATATCCACAACGTGTCACTGTTTGGTTTGGATTTTGAGCTGGAGGCTTTAAAGGAGGAGATTCAACGTTACATTAATGAAATTCAACCACATTTATGCAGAATAGTCATGGAAAATTTCGACAAACGAGTGCGTATATGTATGGAAAGCCGTGAAGGCCATAAGTATGTACTTTATGATTCAATAAAAAAAAATTACAATCGAAAGATTAAAAACTGTGTTTTTTTTAACTTCCAATCTTGCGTTAATTTTGTGACACCCTTTACAATATTTATGCACTTATGCCAAACTGATACATATGTATGTACGTATGTATATAGAAAATCAAAATTGATTTTTTTATTCTTAATAACACTTGCAATTTTTTTTCGTTTTATGGTAACTTTCGTTTTCAATACATATTTATCATTCCTGGAATTTAGTATTATAAACAAACTCTTGGTATTTCCTGATAAACATACATACATACATATGTACATATGTATTATAAGCAGAATCATATTTTTAATAACCTTTGGATTATCAGTTGTCAGTTGTCAAAATACATATGTACATGTGTATGTATTATATATATTCAAACAAAAAAGTTAACTTCGGCTGCACCGAAACTATAATACCCTTCACAAATAAAAAAGTTTTCCATACCCAAAATTTGATTTTGATCGGTCAGTTCGTACCGCAGCAGATTATAGCGTTGCCTTGGATTATAATCTGTGCCAAAACTTCGTGAAGATGTCTAGTCAAACAAAAATAATTTTCATACAAGGACATGATTTTGATCGATCAGTGAAATCAATAATGAAAGATGTCTTGTCAAATAAAAAAGGCAGCTATATTCTATAGTGGTAGCTTGGGGAGAAAAGAACGTTTGTAAAATTTCAGATCGATATCTCAAAAACTGAGGAACTAGTTCGAGTAAATACAGACGAACCTGCCTTAATGGACTCAGCTCGTCACGCAGATCATTTATATATAACATATTATTTAGAATGTTCTCCCACGTTTCCTTATTTCACGGCAAACTTGATATACCCTGTTGAGGGTATAAAAATCACCAGAAGAACAAAGAGTGAGAAGAACAGGAGCAATTGGGGTATCACAAAAGCTGATAAGACAACGCTTTGTAATAAATTTCAAGCGCTTCTCATATGCCATATAATTACAAGTTGCATTTAGCAACCCAGTTAAAGTATTCCGAGCTCGAGATGGGTTTAGTCAAATACGGACTTTTGCTTACTACGCTTACGCTAGCTTTAGCTGAAACTCAGAATGATTGCGTTGTACCGATCGCCTCAAGGCGTCATCTTTACATACAATGGCCGCTGATTTATAAGCCCGGCGGCGAGTTGTACCCAGTACATTTGGACGCAGAGCAACAGACAGCAAGTGTACACTTACCTGTCGGCGAAGAAGTCTTGCTCTCATGTGGACCAAATTATCTAAAAAAATTTAATCGTGCAGAGACGTTGAGCGTAAAATGTGAAAGCGACGGCAAGTTGAAATCATTGAGTTCGGCTGCTGACATACAAAATGAAGCAAAGCCAGTCAGTTATTATGGCTGTGATTTGCGTGTCGTCGAAGAAGTGCTAAGCACAGTAAATGACTGCAATAATCAGGCTTGGACGCCGGTTGCATTCGGATATGTGAATCCATTCGTCTTACACACATAATCGGCGAGGCGTGTTATGATGAGAACGAGGGGCGTACCATATTCGCGCATATCAAGCTGAGCAGTATGTATAGCACAGACATTAATTGTCAAATGCAAATATTTTTGAATGAAATTTTTTGTTTTAAAAAACAGATACTTCATACCTGCAACGGCTGCCAAAAGACTTTCTCACAAAGTTTCACCATCCCGATGGACGTTACAAAAGTGAGCTTTTCCGCGGTCTAAGTTTCGATGAAATCTACGAGCGTGTGCGTCAAACCTTGCACACGAAATCTGCTCCTTTCTTACATACAACCAACTTTGTGGACGATTTCTTCATAACGAATCCGCAATTCCAAGCCGTCAAGAAATTGAGTTGGAATTATTTTGTTGCACATGATGATCTTGAAGCCTGGACCGAACTCAAGCGCAACATACTAGCACATCGAAATGCCGTTAAAGATGATCTGGACATTTATGTGGGGAGTCATGGCATACAGGTGTTACATGGCCTTAATGGTGAACAAATGAAGCTCTATCTTCATCCAGAATCGGGCAAGTATGGAAAATTCCCAGTACCAGAACTTTTGTGGATCGTTGTAAAGGAGGAAGATAAAGCAACGGCTTTTGGTGTGTACAACGATGCAAATGCGAATGCGTTGCAAGGGATTCTATCGACCACGTCGCATGCGCCAATTTGTGAGAGCAAATGTGGTGAGATCACTTGGCTTTCAGATGCTTTGAAAAATAGTGGGCTTATCTGTTGTAGTGTGCCAGAATTTAGAAAAGTTGTGAAGGAAGTGCCCGCCATAACAGAAGAAAATAGTCCTTTTTAAATATTTAAAGCTATGGAATTGATTACTAAATAAATAAATTTAAAAAATAGGTAATCTTTTGTTTTTTTCGTATGTTGTTCTACAATGAGTTCTACATAATTTATAAAAATATATATTTATAAAAAATTTGAATTAAAAAAGCTGTAAAGCTTCGAAAGCAGTTAAAACTCAAACCTAAATCAGTAGCTTTTAAGGCACCGCCAAACTCAATACAAAGCTCAATAGACTTAATTAAACAAGTTTACTAAGGGAAAGTGTCTAAGAAGCTTTTTGGCCAGTTTGAAGATATAAGGCTTGAAAGCATGTAGCAAGTAAGCTATGAAAGCATTGTTAGAAAGCTTATTTAAATAATTGATTATAATTACCAAAAATATGTATAAAGTACATACTTGTGTATTTATAATTGTAATACTTTACGACAGAAACTTAAACGTTTACTATCGAATAAAACATTGGCAAGGAACAGTCATAAAAATTAAATTTTTATAGTGAATTTAATAAGCTTTAAGCTTAGCAAGGAGCTTTGCTCAGTACGAACACAAATATACTGATTTCTGACAAGGATTGAGCATTAAACGTAACCAAATGAAGTAAGCTTGAGGATTCTTGTCGAAAGCATAAATTTGAATAGAAAGTAAATATCGGATATTCCAATAAGAATGTTTCGGCATAGATCGATAACCTCCTTTTTATGAGAGTTTGGAAATTCGATAATTTCAAGAAATTTTGATATTGAAACTCTCCAAGTATATGAAATAATGAAGGAAGTTTGCTAAAAAGCTGAATAAAAATTGGTTCAAATCAAAGGAACTATTTAATTGTAATAATTTCCGACAGAAACTTTAGCGTTAATTACAGAATGAAAAAAAATAGTAGGGAAGTCACGAAAATTGAAGGGTCTTAATGATGAATTAACTAATATTTTAAAGTTGTGGCAGAAGCTTTGCCTAGTACGAACACAAATATTGAGATTTCGGAAAAGGATTGAGGATTAAACGAAACCAATTAAAAAGTCAAAATATGAATTGGAAGAACATAAATCCATCAATAGGAATGGGTTGTTTGTCAGAGATCGTTTAAAGGGAAATACGTTAAGAGACGTAACAAGGATTATATATACATATGTAATAACTGCCGTCAGAAACTTAATCATGAGAAAAATGTATATAGTATCGCTATTAATTTAAGGAAAAAATCAAAATGTTCTTTTGGTATTGAAAAAGAAGGCAGAAGTAATCAAACAAAAATAATAATAATAAAAAAAATATGTCTTCTCGCCGTGAAAAGAAAGGAAATTTAGCATTTAAAAAAAGCATATTTTCTTACCGTGAACCAAAGTGGCAATGAGTTTACTTTCGAAACATGCATCCTTATATACCACCGTGGCACGCAAATTTCATTAGAAACTCAAACATTACAAATATTATATACAAAAACCATTTAGGCAGACTGCTTTGATTTTTTTCAAATTCTTGCAGTAACTGTTTGCACTTCAATTGTAGTAGAAAAAGTACATTTTGGTTTGGAAAAGTATGTGTTATATATTATACGTTCTCTGTTGCTACTTAGTGTAAAATATACTAAACTGAGTTAATTATTGCCGAATAAAGCACTAAGTTCCCACCAACTAATCTAATATTGATAGCTTGACAAAAGTATAAAAATATTGCTTTAATTCATTGCAACTGTAAAAAAATGTGTATATAAGAGTGGGAAATTTAACTACTATTGTAATTGTGCGATATACTACAGTTTTCACCATACATACTGCGAAATGGAAATTCTTTAACGACACACTGTCTAACATCTGGTAAATAACGCCGCGGCGTGTCTTTGCAACTGTAACTGTAATCAGCATTTTAACATGAATTGCTGAATTCAAAATGGCTGTTATATACTTATATATTATATGTTGCGTTTATATACATACATAAGTATAAAACAATATGGTCAGGTTTAGAAAAAAAACACTGACGCTTGAGTTATGAATTTTTGTTTTGATGGATTTCTCTATACTAAAAACAAAAAAAAAAAGAATTAAATTAAAATAATAAAATATATAATATAAGAAATAAAAATGATAATAAAAAACAAGAAAAAACGTTAACTTCGGTTGCACCGACGCTATAATAGCCTTCACAAACATAAAATATTCCTTACAAACGCTTGACTTTAATCGGTCAGTTTGTAGGGCCGCTATATGTTACAGTTATCCGATCTGAATAATTTCTTCGCAGATTCAACCATTGTCTTAAACAACAACACATGTCCAATTTCTTAAAGATATCTCGCCGAACGAAAAAGTTTTCACACAAGCACTTTATTCCGATAGTTCATTTTATATGGCAGCTATATGCTATAGTCATCCGATCTGAACAATTTTTTAGGAGCTTGCACATTTGCTTTCCGCAGTAGCTCATGTCGAAATTCCTGAATATATCTCGTCAAATAAAACAGTTTTTCATACAAGCACTTTATTCCGATCGTTCAGTTTGTATGGCAGCTATATGCCACAATGGTCCGTTATCAGCGGTTCTGAAAAATGAGCTGCTGTTTGGGGAGAAAAGGACGTGTGTAAAATTTCAGATCGATATCTCAAAAACTGAGGAACTAATTCGCATATATACAGACAGACGGACATGACTAAATCGACTCAGCTCGCCATTCTGAGCATTTATATTTATGTATATGTATGAATATACATATGTACATATATTTTGTAGAGTCTGCGACGTTTACTGCTAGGTTTACAACTTTCGTGCCAAACTTAATATATCCTGCTTAGGGTATAAAAATAAAATAATAATAATATACTTTGAAATATTGATCATAGCTCATTGAATTTATGACATTCTTAACTATATAAAGGAAGTACTACATTAAATACAAAATCCCGCGCCCATTTATCAATTAAGTTTTCGAGGTTAAGTAAGGAAAGCATTAAACTCGAGAATGATTTTTTGAAGTTAATTTTTTGATTGAAAATTGATTTCTTTATTTTCTACTTTCCTCTTTCTCTACTTACATATGTATGTATTGCTGTATGTACTGGCATACTTATGTGTGTTGTATATGATGTATAGTATATTAGAAGTATTATATTTATAGTTATAATTAATATGTACTAATGAATAATACTATGTATGTTATGTATGTACATATGCATGTATACATCTACAATGCTTATTAAATCTATATATTTTATATAGTCGGATAATATGTGCTTAATTAAGTTTTTTAGCGTAAATTCATTAAAACTGTTCATTTTTGAGGTATCAACATATTTACCGGGTAAATAAGGCAATTTGGAGAGTTGGTTATATAATATAACATAAAAACGCATATAAGGAGATGACACAACTATTCAACTTGACAAATGAATTAAGTATAATGCTCAGCCATTATTACAGCATTATATTTGTTAAAATATACATAGGTAACATATGTATGTGCATATATGAGAAATAACAAATTTTGAAAATTTCAAAAAAAATTAAAATTTGAAGCTGCAGGTTTGATAAATAATTACTAGGAAATGGTTTTTAGGAAAATACATCTAATTATGCAGATATATATATATATATATTTGATTAATGTATAACTTATAATTTGATATGAATATGCTTTTAAGCAGAATTTTATTTTTTTTCCTTAAATTTTCTTATTGAAAAATAGTATGTACAGATCTATTATTAAATGTGTGCAAACTCGTATTTATACTATATATATATATATATATATATATATATATAAATGTATATTAAATATATACAAATTTATATATTATGATTTTTTCTTAAGCATTTGAATCGGAATATTCTTAAATGCGAATGTTCATAAATATACATGTGCAGTTGCACTTTTTTATTAAAAAATTTTGGATTAAAAATTATATTCTTATTTTTAAATACCGATACTTGGATTAAAAATTTTGATTTTCGTTTTTTAATTCCGATGTTGCTAGACAAACTGAAAATATTATTTTTTGATTTGAATAAACGAAAAAAAAAAATTTAATTCTAAAAAAAATTATTTTTTTAATTTTTAATTATATGCTTGAGATTAAAATTTTGTTTATTAATTTTTTAATCCGGTATTTGGGATTAAAATAAAAAATTCAAAAATAAATGTTTAATTCGGTTTTTGGGATTCAAATTTTTTTTATTACGAAGTTAAACATTTTTTTTTTTTTTTTTTAAATGTTAATCCCGTATTTGGGATTTCAAAATAAAAAAAAAAAATTATTTCAATTGGTAATTCAATTATTTTTTAATGCAACCCTGCACATACTCCTGCAAATATTTATGTATAAATTTTTAATTTTCTGTTGGTATAAAATTGTTAATAAAAGTGTTGCAGTGATAAACTACGTCTATATGTATAGAATTTATAAACTATGAATTCCTGTAGCCTTCGCAATGCGTTTTTATGAAAAAAAAACTGCCATGCATTCAGTTTTAAATATGCAGTTTTTATGTAAATATGTTTGTATTAAATTATGTTAGTCTACATACAGCTAAGTTTACAAAATATGTACCTATATAAATATATGTATATGTAAAAGTATAAATATATACTTATTTTTAAGCTCAAGATTGTGTCAGTTCCGGTTTGTTTGAGCTTTGAAGCGGGATATGTATGCATGTATTAATCGAAAAAGCTAGCAAATGGGGTCTCCATAATATATACATATGTATATAAATTTCAAAAAAAAAAGTACATAAAGTTGTTAGAAGAAAAAAGATACATATCTATCATAGCAAATCAAAAACTCGTTAGTCAAAGCAAAAAAATTTAAAAAAAACGTTAACTTCCTATAATACCTCAATAAATTTCTCATAGCATAAACCGATATAAAATGATCTTTACCTCGATTTGGGTCGGTCAGTTTGTATGGCAGCTATATGCTATAGTGATCTGATTTGAACAATTTTTTCGTAGATTACATTGTTGCCTTAGAAAATAACCCATGCAAATTTTTTTGGAGATATCTCGTGAAATGAAAAAGCTTTCCACACAAGCACTTTTTTCCGATAGTTCAGTTTGTATGGCAGCTATATGCCACAATGGTCCGTTATCAGCGGTTCTGACAAATGAGCTGCTTTTTGGGGAGAAAAGGATGTGTGCAAAGTTTCGGATCGATATCTCAAAAACTGAGGAACTAATTCGCGTATATACCGACAGACAGTCATAATCGACTCAAAATGCAAAATTTACATAAATATAAATACACAAAATTTATTACAACATCATTAACTATAAAATAAAAAGAAAATATATATATATTTTTTTGTAAATAAAATACTAACAAATGTGCGTTTAATTTATGGAAAGTAAAATGATAAAAACAGCAACTAAAATACAACTGAAAGCAATTAGTAAAAACATTAAATTATGCAAATACCACTACACATACAAAATACACTGTGATACAGACACTTTTCACGTTTTGTCCACGTTGCGTGTAACTTAAAACTAACTACTTATTATCTACTATTATATATATATATATGTGTATGTACGTATGTACTAAATCAATAAGAATCTCAATATTTTAGCCAAGCTCACGTTGGGGCTCATCAAGAATTTACAACTGGACGCGCATGATGTGCATGTTGCTGTTGTTGTTGCTGTGTGTGGTGATGATGATGCGCTGCAATTGCTGTTTGTTGTTGTTGTTGTTGCGCGGCCGATTGCCGCAATACGGGATTGCGTAATACTAATTCCGAATCTTCGGAAATAATCGGCAATGCATTAGCCCAATGATAGTTTATCAAATGGCTGATACTGTCGAAAATGCGATCTTTAGTACGCACCACACCCTCGGGATCGATTAGCAACAAATGTTTGGGTGTTTTCACCTCCAAACCGGTAAGCACGTATTGACCATGTTTACCCTGAGATTCGCGTACCAGAAAATCGCCGTCATTTTTGAGCATACCCTCGGCAATTTGTCGACTAATGCCCGCATGGAACCACAGTTCGGTGTTAAGTTGTGAACGCTGCACTTCGGCGGAGAGCGAAAAGGGTTCTATGTGCAGGAAATTTCGGTATATAAATATATATTGGTGTATAGTTATTACAAAGGTTTACTCACGCATATCGAACACATCACGCACGGGTGCTTGTGGTAGCGCACAAGCGCCCTCTGTATCGGCCATTGGGTCGAAATTGCTGAGATTCATTTTGGTGGTAGTCTGATCTGGCGGTGGACTATTTAGATCTATGAGATTACTGCTAAGACGATCGCGTGGTTTCTTCAAGTTCAGCTGTCCCACTTTGTGTTGAGGTAATTGTGTTTGCTGCTGTTGCTGTTGATGCTGCAGCAGCAATTGCTTTTGCAATTCCGGTGGCAGATCGTTCTCGCTCAACAAGTCCGGCGGTAATTTGTCGGGCAAGTCATTGTAGTAGTCTTTGCTATTCTCCGCAGGTGTGTTGAGGTTCAAAACAGCTTGGCTTCTGTCAATTATTTTAATAATATTTTTTTTTAATTTTTTTTTAAATTTTTTTAAATTTTTTTAAAATTTTTTTGAAATTTAAAAAAAAAAATTTTTTTATAAAACTATTATGCTATGCTAAACTGTACTTGCTACTCACTTCAAGTGTTTGATTGCATTAAAGCGCAACATGAACGCTTTGCCGATTGTCAATATTAAGTCTTCACTCTGTCCGCCGATGCACTCGAGCACGTAGCAGGCACGCCACTCGTCCTCATTCTTGGCGATGTACGCCAGAAAGTCCAAAGTGTCCTGTGAATAGCAAATAAATATAGTATCTAACAACAAAAGTAATAATCAGCGTCTGCACACAGGCCACTACAGTATGTGCTCGTTGCAAGCATTCAAATTAAGTGCAAATAAGTATGCTATGTAAACGATTGCTTACCGAATCGCCGCCGGATGCAAAAGATATGTGTGGCATATTGTGACTGGCTATGCGTTGGCCCGTCTCAGCGTTTACCAAATCCAGCGCACGACTCGACACGTTGATGATGACGTTTGTGCCGGCATTCTGCATGTGCGGCCGATCGGAGATATAGTGCAGTATCTTCTTGTCTACACGCCGCTTGCCGGCCGATTTGAGGCCAGCCGCTTCACAAACACGATTGATGCATTCACTGTGTTTTTTGTAAAGGAGATAGAAAACATTTATTTGAGTTCCTTTTGTTTAACATATTTAAGCTTCATTAAAAATAATTTGAAAATGTACTATAAAATTCAAGCGATTCCTTAAATTTTATTGCTGAAGATATTGTAAAGAATTTGTAGGCTCTTACGAACACAGTTTATGGGTTTATTTTCTCAGATATGCTGATATCGGATCACTATAACATATAGCTGCCATACAAACTGGCAATCAAAATCAATTTCTTGTAGGGAGTCTTTTGTATTTATGAAACGTATTACAGCTTCGGTGCAACCTAAGTTAACGATTTATGTAAAAGATGGTCAAATATGGTTGCCAACGAAACTCAGGTAGAAATAATCACTCAACGGCTCAATTTCGAAATTCAAGTATGCCGATAGAAATCGTAGTATACCTTTAGGGTGAATTTAAACTATTACAGAAACAACTTTGGCCTACCATTTGTAGACTATCTATAGGTATCAGTTTGTCTGAGTTTTTCCTCATTTTTCAGTATGCGTCTGCGTTATATGAATGTCATTCCAGTTGAGAAGGGGTTGTTAAAAATACGCATGAGCGTTATCTGAAAAAGCGTTCTTATTACAGTTAGATTTAAGCCTGAATTTGCAGCTTTATAAATCGTTGACTACTTCGACGACAAGTGACGATATATATACTAGCCAAACTCATTCTATCAATTATATATATATAGGATTATACAATGAACAAACAGCAGGCATCAGTGAAGGTTTTACATGCCATTTTTTAAAAGTAGAGAGATTGTGTTTTGCTGAGCAGCTCTTTTTTGATGGTAAGTAAGCGCTCATTGTGGAAATGAATTCCGAAACTAGCCAAAACCGATAAAACGGAGTTGCCTTACTATGTAATTATTTTGTGAATAAAATGCAGAAGAATTTACTTAGAAGCTTACTACTTGAGCTGAGCGAAATATTTATTCAACAAACTTTTTCATATATTTCACTCCACTTTTGGTTTTTAACAACTATGCTTTGATATAAATGACCGATTCGCTACACAAGCTCATAGCAAGTTCAATGTAGTCGGAAAAGCTGCTTATCCGACTCAATTTCCCTTTTCTTTTATGTAATATCCGTTTTCGTCGGAAATATGCGTCTTGCTATATCGTTTTACATTACCACGCTGCCGCGAATCATGCACCAGCGCCACACTAGCGTAGTTCGTCAAGTGCAGCGACCATAAAATACAAATCCTTGCCCACTAAATCCCTCTTATACCTTAAAGCAAACACACAAACTCTTCGGTAACCACAAATTTATATGGCTGCCCGATGCACAACTATTTACATATACAACCCAATAGAAGTAAGTGTGTACTTACCGCGCAACTTTGGTTCTCGTTTCGAAGTTCAACAATTTCATTGAAGTTTTCACCTCCACACAGCCGGTGTACTGAAAAGAAAGAAAAAAAAACGAAAATGAAAATAGTGAAAAAGTGAGTGCTTCTGCAAGTGGATTGCGGTTAGAACGCCGACTACAAATATAGCGTCAGACAAACAGCAAAAGAAGATAAAACCAGGTGGCAAGGCAGTGAGGTGGTGCAGCGAACGCAATCACACGCTGTAGAACATATGTACAAGTATGTCTGCGGGAATGAATTGGAGCTTGAGAAGCAGGTGGGCAACAAGTACGCGTCAATATGCAACGCAAGAAAAACAAAAGAAATTTTACTACGCGCATAAAATGAAATTAAATAAAAAGAGAAAAAAAAATACCACTGCCAGCATTGAAGGTAGTTGGGTAAGCACTTCAGCGCAAAGCTGAATGAATATGTGGACGAAAGGGCAGCGGCGCACGTAGGAAATGTACGACGATGACATTGGCATTCGCGCTGGTGGATGCCAATAGCAAAAAAAAACAAAAACAAAACGAAGCATAGCTGCGTGGTTCAGTATAGCTGTAAAACAGTAGGCGTGTGCGTTAAGAAGCCAACGGAAGCAGCGGAAGTAAGGCAGCAAATGTGGTACTGTGAAAGAAGGAAGTAACTCTTGAAAATATAAAAAGTATGGCTGTGGTCGGAAAATACAAACAAGCGCTGCAGCGGCAACATCAGCAGCCTCAGCATATGGATGGCAAATAACGTGCATTGAACTCTGAGTAAACAATTCAAAACGCTCGCACAAAAGCACTCGCAGCGTCGCAAAGGAAGCAGGAAATGCATAAAGCAAATGCCGCAATGCGCTGCAATTCATGGGTTCTTCTACCAAAGTTTGCTTGTCGACAGGATGACGCTGACTGTTGTGATTATGCGCTCAGCACAACGGCGACAGGAAGAGGCAGCGTCGCGCAGTTTCAACAGCCCAAATGTACAATGGTTCAACGTGTAATTTAATACTCACCCGCACATTGAAGGAGACGCCCTGCTCCATGATCAGCTCATCGGGATAAGCGCAACCATCGTTTGCAACGCCTCCATTGGCCTCACAGCCATTTCGTGGCATTTCGGCGTACTTTACTGTGATAAATGTCGACTCCTTCGTGAATTTATAATATTCAGTTGATTTTACGGCAGCAATTTACATACATTTACTATGTGCATTCGCTTTACGTTATTGTATTCGCATAGACTATACAATCTGCAAAGAAAAAAGATGTGAAAAAGTTGCCAATTAACATCTAATTAATTAATTAAAGAAATGGTTATATATTGATACATAATTGCTTTTATGGCAACGATAAGGCGAAAAGCGCTTTAAAGAACTCTTTTTGGCATAACGATGCAAGCTGAAAGTGTGTTGGAAGCAGAATTCGACTCGCGAAGCAATTTAGATATATACCTACATTAAGACCAGAAAGCTTCCGGATTTTGCTTTTTTTTCGATATTCGCGGTTTGGTTCATCATGAATTATTTCCAACTCGAACTCTGTTCAATTTGAACATATTACAGAAAAATTAACTGATGTGGTTCATCAGCGTCTGACATATAACATATACAGAGGTTTAAAGGCCAAGAGGATTACTCTTGGGAAATTTGACAATACTATGTTACCATATAAAAATTTACTGACGAGTCAGGATCGCAAAAGCACCCTAGTCTTTCAAACCTGACTCTGGATTACATAGTAGACGAAGTTCTTATCACACTTCATGTCTTGGGCTGGCTCCAAAGTTTGTTACCGCTCTGGTAAATATATAAACTTCCGTGCAGAAGTCTCGTATAAGAAAAGAAGCTGTTATATTCGATAATAGATATATTCACTGCTACTCAGTTTGCTATTAGGAGAAACCAAATGCTTCTATTTATAGAACGTTTATTTGTAACATGGTTTTGATTAAAGTCTCTGGACAGGCGATACACTTCCATGAAATTAACCTTATCTCTCTTTGAACTTAAGCACTTGTCTAAAATTGGCTACAATTAGAAAATAAGCACTCTTCATACAACTTTGAAGCACCTTTACTTGAACGCGAACTCGTTCCTCAAATTTTGAGATATCGGTCTGAAAGTTTGAACACGTTCTTCTCTCACCAATAAGCTGCTGAGTTGTCATAATCGCCGATATCATACTACTATAGCATATATGTAGTTGCTATACAAACTGGACGCTCCAAATAAAGTTCTTGTATGGAAAACTTTTTTAGTTGACAAGATATATCTCCGAAATTTGGCACAGATTTTTATTCAAGGTAATATCCGATTATATTGTTCGAATCGAACTACTATAGCATATAGCTGGTGTTCAAACTGACCGATCAAAACCAAGTTAAACGCCTTTTTATGCCACAAAAATGCACCTACGAAGGGTATTATAGCTTCGGTGCTGCCGAAGTTAAAGTCTTTTCTTGTTTTTATACTTTTGTTGAGCAGATAGTTTTTTCTATTTAATTTATTTATGAGTGGAAATTAGTACAAAATTGAGTTAGAGATTTTAAATGTCGTATATGTACATATTCAAATTTCCCTTATATACATATACAATATAATAAGTTTATAGTACCATATATTTATTGACAACAATTTTCCGCTTTAAATACGCATTAGAATATTTTCCAAAGCAATTTTCTACAATTTTCATTATATAAATTACTAATGCAAAATTCAAATAGCAACAATGATAGTTAATTCTGCATAATACTCGGAAAATAATATCCGCGCGGAATAATAATTTATTTTATAATTATTTGCACAGTTGGTATATTTCAGCGAATGGGTGTGTTTTGATGGGTTTAAAGAGCGTCGACAAGTGTACTGTAAAGTGAGCGCTGTCAGCGAACGCGCAGAGGTAGCTCCATTTGTAGGCCGGAAAGGCAAACACCGAACATTATGAAAACAATGTAGACAACAAAGACCCCTGCCGTACAATAGCTAAATGCGCTGACTAGGCCTCACAGAGTAGTCGCCCTCAACTCTCGACAGCGCGCACAAACAATGCAAAAACAGCGTTTAAAAGCAAAAGTCAAAAATGCAGAACTTTCGCGTTAATTACAGCACCCGATTAAGGTTGAGGATTTAAATTTTTAATTTTACACAGTGCCTTCGGCAATTACTCATCTTTGAGTCGGTGCTGTTGAAATGCTGCGAGTTGTGTGAATATATATAAATATGTACAGATATATACGCATACTTATATAATATATAAGTAAATGTATATACATACCTATATATTTACCCATGTAAAGGCAGCTCGGAAATGCCGGCTCTGAAGACTTTATGTATATATTTGTTAGTTTGTTGGTAGTAGTAACGAAATACCATTCTTGAAAATGAAAATAATTTAATATGTATGAGTTTTAGGGTGTGCCATAAAAACTAACGTATCGTATTTATAAAATTTATATATAGAGAAAAGGCAAGGCAGAATTTTTAGTTGAATTTTAAAAGGTGTCGGTGAGCTACTCACGTAGATAACTAGCATAAACATTTTTCGTCAAATTTTGAAGCGTGTACGATAAAAAAAATCGCGTATAGTTGTAAAATTTAAATTTCCTAAAAAATGTACCTCAGGGATATTTTTTTCAATTCAAAAATGCGTATATTTAAAAGCTTCAAAATTAAAAAACAAAGGTTAGTATTGCGAAAACAGACTAGTAAAAAATTTCCCACATAAATAACACGTAAATAAAATTTGTATTTCTTAAAATTTTGAACCGTTTAGGAAGAAATCACGAAATTTTGTAAGAAATAAATTTTTCAAATAAATGTACGTGTGGGAATTTTTTTTTTTTTTTCAAATCAACAATTCGTATATTTCAGAGCTTTAAAAGCTTTGAAGTTAAAAAATTGTTAAAGCTACGAGAAGAAAGTTTTTTTTGTCATATATAGGTTTGAAAAGTGAAAAAGATGGTTAATAAGTACTACGAAAACAGACGAGAAAAAAATTTCCCACATATATAAATAACACGTAAAAAAAATATTTTTTATAAAAATTTTGAACCGTTTAGGAAATAAGTCACTAATTCTTGTAAAGGATGAAATTTTCAAAAAAGGGTAACTATGGGAAATTTTTTTTAATTCGAAAATTCGTATATTTAAAGTATTTAAACCTTTAAAGTGAAAATATGGTTCATTTTAACCCATTAATTTGATATGAAAATTTTTTTTTTACTTACCTTAATGTATATGTGTATATGTATATATGTATGTACATATGTATGAACATCACAAAATAAAGAATGCGCCACCTTATAAGTTTCTACGTATATAAGGATATGAAGTTGTGTAAGGATGAAGGGTGAAAAACATTTATAAAAAATCTCAAACCCCTTATAACTCTATCAAACCTTTGAAAGACCGAACTTTTTCCATGAGACATTCTTTACTACTAAAATATAGAAACGCCTTTTTTTAGATTTTACTCCGGTGGGAATTCCATGCAACTTTAACTATCGACTATAAAGTAACGGGTTTTACTCAATTAACAGTTTACATATATAACCATAAAATAATAATTTAAAACAAAAACTAAAAGTGGCAATGTATGATACTTACACTCATACATACATACAAGCACACATATACACTCATTTTCACATTTTCAACTTTAATTGAAGTCAACAGTATTGTTTTTGTTATCATCTGTGCCGCCGGCGTGGTCATTCATTGAGCAACACTCATATACAATAGTACATATGATTAAAAAACAACAACAATAAGAATTTTGTATATTTTTGGGTGGGGGCACAGTACAGTGTCATCACTCAGCGACTCATATACATTTATATACAATATTTGTGTATATATTGTACATACATATGTACATACATACATGAATATTTGTATGCAGGCATATGTGTGCTTGATTTTATTAGTTTTATTTTTTATAGCAACTTTTATGTCATTGCAACAACAAAGTGCCGATAGAATGATGCATCGTTTTTTGTGTGTGAAGCTCTGCGTAATCGCCCTCAATTAAATGGTGTGTTGTTCGTATGTAGCAAAGTACGAGGTCATTTTGATAAGTGCGGCGAACAGTAGGAAAACAATGTCAGGAATGCTTATTTGGATTTACGCACGTTTTTTCTCGACAAAAGATATTTTTGTTGGAGTTAAAAAAAAATAATATTAAATATTTAAAGAAACCGAAGCTGAGTTCATTCAGTTCTTATAGCATATAAGGATATAAAGAGGGCTGTAACTTAATTTTGATATTGATGCGATCCAAATAATATGTTTAGAGATTATAGCGTTGCTTTGAGTATTAATCTTAGCCAAATTTCATGGAGATGTTCAAAGAATGAGGGACTAGTTCGCGTCTATACAGACGGACATTGCTGAATCGACTCAACTCGTCAGGCTGATCATTAATACCTATGTACATACAAGTATATATTTACATATAATTAATAGGCACTCTGACATTTGCTTTTGGGTGTTACAAACTTCGTGGCAAACTTAGTATACACAATCAGAGTGTAAATTATATGTTATCGAGCTTAAAATGATTTTTTCATGATCTACTCATTTAATTTACTATTTTTTTATTATTTAAGGTAAAGCGCCGTATACCATATATCATATAGTAGCCATATGTATATAGTATATAGTATATATGTATATATAAGTAATTAATTTTTTTCTTAACTCATTTCTTGTTTTCCGAAATGGTAACCTTGACCGGAAATACTTGCATACTGAAAATTCAATCTAAAAATAAATTTTTCAAGCAGGTGTCTCAGCACTAAGCACATAAGGAATAATTTAATTCGCACTATTGTGTCACTAATTAATCAGAATTGTAATGACGAATTGGTAAGGGCTTCCCTCAGCACTTTCTATAATACATACATATGTATGTATATATGTATACCTTTTGCAAGATTGAACGCCGAGCTTAATCACATTAAGCAAATAAAAAAGTCATTATTCACCCGAGTACTTTGCATAGCAGTCCAACTGCAAAATTTTTAAAAATATCGGCTTGCCGGTCTTTTGTGAGTCAATGCACGATTCGCTCATCACGTTTCTGCAAAATTCATTACAAGGGACGCGCTAAAAATTCGCTCACATTCAGTATATACATATATATATACATATGTACATATGTACTTATACGATATGCAAAATCTGTTGCAATGATTAAAATTGATGCAAAACCCGCATATGATAATTTTTAAGGCGATTCATTCGCAGCTTAA